TATTATTATTATTATTATTAATCTGTTGAAGTTCCCCAGGGCTCTGTTCTGGGTCCCCTACTGTTCTCTCTTTACACCTTGTCTTTAAGAAAACTTATTAGTTCTTGTGGTTTTTCCTATCATCTGTACGCCAATGACAATCAACTGCATCTTTCCACCCCGATCTCTCTCGAGGGCTTGAAGAGCAAGTTTCTTTATGTCTCACAGCAGTTTCTCTGTGGATGTGTTATCGGCGTTTGAAGCTCAATATGTCCAAAATGGAGCTTCTTGTCTTTCCACCTAAGTCTTCCCTTCAAGCCTCTTTCTCTGTTTCTGTCAACAACACTTCTATTCATCCAATCTAGGAAGCCCTCAGCCTCGGTTTCATTTTTGATTTCTCTCTGTCTTCTTTTCCCCATATCCAGGCCACAACCAAAGCCTGCAGATTTTTCCTTTATAATATTGCCAAATCCGTCCTTTTCTTTCGGCCTCCACTGCCAAGACTCTGGTCCATGCTTTGGTGGTCTCTCAATTAGACTATTGTAATCTCCTTCTAGCTGGGCTTCCCCTCTCTCATCTTCGCCCTTTAATTTCTGTCCAACATTCAGCTGCTCACATCATTACTTCCACTCACTGCTTTGACCACATTTCCCCTTTGCTATCTTCTGTTCACTGGCTCCCCCTTCCCTTCCATATCCAATATAAGCTTTGGTTGCTAATTTTCAAAGCCCTGCATGGGCTAGCCTTTCTTTACCTATTGAGCTTCTTTATTTTTACATTCCCACCTGTACCCTCCGTTCTAGTACTCAAGGCCTGCTGTCCCAACCTTGGATCTCCACTGCCCATCCTGGATTCTCCCCTTCTCGCTTGCCACCCCTCACTCCTGGAACCTTCTTCTCTTTCAAACATGGGTTGTTAATTCTTTGTCTACTTTTAAATATGAGTTACTTTTAAATATGAGTTTTAAATATGAGTCTGCAGAGGGGCGCGTTATAAATAAAAATTATTATTATTATTATTATTATTATTATTATTATTATTATTATTAAAGACTACCTTGTTCAGGGAGGCATTCCAAGGCACTGTCTAATATACATTTACTCTTTCTGTTATTTGGGCAGACAGTGGATGTTGTTGTTTAATTGCTGTAATTGTTCCTTGCTTTTAATTACCTTTTATTAACTTATCTATTGTTTTGTGTTTTTAGATTATATGCCTTTGGCAGGTTCTTATTTCTATTTTATGCTTTGATTGTCTCTGATTGTGTACATTGACAGCGCTTTATAAATAATAATAATAATAATAATAATAATAATAATAATAATAATAATAATGTAAACAAGGGCTAGATTTATATGCAAAGTATGTTGATGTTTAGGGCTTCAGATTGTGACACAGTGAAGGAAGGGGATGGAGACAAAACAAACTAACAAATTGTAGGGCATAATGCAACTTGAAATAAATTGGGGCACAGGCAAGAATCATATGTCCTATTAACTACATGCAGCTCCCCAGCTTCTCAACCCCTTTTGGATACTCCCACCCACCATATTCCTAATTTTTGTGGTCAGAAACTAGAATTGCTGCTAATAGATACCTCTATATTTTTTTCTACAGCACACCACAAGGTTCTAATGTGGATTGAATGTTGGGGTGGGGAGGAGTGTATTTCCAGTTACTTCTATTTTGGGGGGGGAGGGGAAACATTCACACTTTTGTAGGAGGTGCTGGCTGAAGTGGGGGCTTGGGAGGAAAAATTAATCCATTACTGGTTCCTCATTTGGGCCACAGCTTGTTTTATCTAGTCCTGTGCATAGTGTGAAAGAATTCTGACAAGGGGCAAAATTTAAAAAGCGAAATTATTTCGAAAACAGGAATGCTAACCACCCCTGGGACCCTGGCTCGACCTAGGCTGCATGCAGGTGGCAGATTTGGTGGCAAAATCTCTGTGATAATATCTGAATGGTGCTCGGATTAAGTTTGAAGTCAGGAGAGGTAAGAAGGTTTATTTTAATAGTATGATAAGCTCCTATATCTAGTATCTGAAGTCAGATCTTCCTCTTTGAGCTTAGTGTTCTCTCTCTCTCTTCTGAAACTGAATGATAAAAATTCTACTGGTGACAAAACAACCCCCAAAAGACCCAAGGATTGATTAATGGACACTGGACCATTATTCAAATGGGGCTTTAAAATATGCCCCCCCTTCTAACGGTGATTTTTATCTTAATGATTAAACTGTGGTGGGCTAGAGTAGACCTCTAACCATTTCACTTGTTTTCAGAGGTCATCATTGTGTGGAGCCTAACCATCCTGTCTCCATCTCCTCTCCTTCCACTTTGAAACCATTCCACTTCCCTTTGTCTCTTCTTTGAAAGCTTTTCCATTTCCTTCATAAGCCACTCCACTTCTCTCCCCCCCCACCAAAAAAATCTATGGACCTCCAAAATTAAATGATCCATAGTTTTAAAACCACCATCCTAGTTATGGAGTTTGTGTACAGCTCAGTATACAGTCAAACTGAAAGGTAGATGCAGAAGCTTCTTCCAAGCCCATAATTACCTGGGTGGATTGAAGGAAGGAGGAAACAGAAAATGGCCACTCATTTGTTTTTCTCCTGAGCCCGCTCTTTACTGCCATCACAAAAGTGCAATTAAATCATGGCTTCAGCAGATTCAAACGATCATCTTTTATGTTCTTCAATTATACTGTGTAGAAGACCATTGCAGATTCATGTGCTTTAATACAAAAAGGAAAATTATGTCCTAAATATAATGCAGCTTTTTAATCCACCTAAAAGACCTCACGTACTGATGTTTTATTGGAATGATGTATCATGTTCAGACTGTTCTGGGGCAGCTGTGCTATTGATCCAATCATATTTAATAATGCATCTTGGCCTCAAAATTTATTATAGGTTATAGCAAATGTAAGCAAGCAGGCACAAATATAATGCACTTTAGTCAGGTGTATTATCCTGAAGCAGTGAGCTATATTTCCCGTAGACTTTTGTATATGCACAGCATGCAGCCCCAATAAAGAGGAGATGCTAAATTAGTCTAATTACAGGCTGTTTTTACTTTGGCGTTCTCTAGGCTGTAATGACACTCCACTCCTAATCCTAGCATCCTGCAGTCAGTTATATCACTAGAAATGCAGGAAGACAATTATTATTATCATTAACTAGTAAAATGCCTGTCATCATGATGGTGAGTGTGGGAAGCTGGAGGGAACTGGAAAGTTGCTCTGTCTGCTGCAAGTAGAGATGAGACATATATTGCCTATAGATATACATTTACACACACAGTGGGATCCATGACAAAGGAACATAAATACACATGGGCAGCTGTTGCTTTCTGGAACTGGACGTCACCTCTTCTAATCCTTCACCATTTCCTTTGGTGGCTGCTGGTGGGCCAAAAACATTGGAAAACCCATCCCTATTATATATGTACTTGTTCCCCTACTTTCTTTCCTTCCTTCATTTAATATCCTGCCTCCCTCCCCCCCACAACAACAACAACAACAACAACAACAACTCACACACACATGAGTTATCCTGAGAGAGATCACTGGTCCATATGGGTCCATGCTGTCAATACAGTTTGACAGAAGCTCTCAGCTCTGATCAGAGATGTTAGAGATTGAACCTGGGACCTTTTGCATGCAAAATACATGCTTTGTCCCTGAGCTAAAGCTACTGAGATACAAAAGGGTCTGAGCTAACCACAATCTGAGGGTAGAGGGCAGATTTTGCCCATGTGGTACTGGCATCTCCATGTGGAGAAAGTAAAGGTGAATTCGAGACACCATTCACACAGAATTTCATTTCTGTCAGCGATTTCAGCCCATAAGAATTAAGCCTGGATTTTATCCTTACTTGTGTCCCTGAATTTGCATAGCTCACTGAGGCTTCTGATGTTTTTTTTTCCCCCTCTTCTACATACACTTATTTGTCACATTACATAACCTTCAAAGTACATCTTTTTAAAATCATGTATCTTATAGGGTTACCAAGTCAGGAATAACTAAAAACCTGAAATTTCAGAGCCAAAACCTAGGAACAATCCATGTTATGTTAGAGGGGATGATGTCTGATGATGTCATGAGGGCATTCCATGTTGATGTCATTAAGCATAATACATTACACATCAAACATGACTCTTCAGAATGTGTCATTCATATAAAAAACATGGGCTGGCATCCCATTGGTATATTGAAATGGCATTACTGAATATTGTTATTGTGTGCCATTTCCCACTCATGGTGATCCTAAGGTGAATCTATCATGGGGTTTTCTTGGCAAGATTCTTCAGAGGGGATTTGTCATTGCCATGCTCTGAAGCTGGGAGAGTCTGACCCAGAGGGTTTCTATGGCCAAGCCAGGATTCAAGCCCTGGTCTCCAGAGTCTTAGTCCAGTCCTCAAACCACTATGCCACACAGACTCTCACATTGAAATTCATGGTTTTGGTTGTTATGCAATGACCAAACCTCTTCCCCAAACCCTCCTTATTGAGACCAACAAGGCAGTAGAAATTAAGGGTCAGTTCTAGTTAGGTCTGTCTTTAGAAACAAGCACTATTATGTTAACTCAATGTAACAGCTTTAAAATGCTTGGTATCTAACATATTGCAGTCATGTTTATTTTTATTTGTGGATGGAGGGGGAAAGAAAGGAAAATGAGCTGGGAGTAATGAGAGGATTAGAAGATGAAGGAAAGTGATAAATATAGCTAACCAAGGGGAGAAGAGAAAAAAGGTGAGAGAATAAAGCAGAAGAATAAGGAGGAAGGGAGGAGAAGGAAACAAATAGAGCCAGAAGAACTGGATAGGAAGAGGAATAAAGGCAATGAGAGTGAAGGAAGGGAGATTAGGGAAAGAGGAAGATGAAGATGAAAAGTCCAACTAGGAAATGTTAGGTGGGGAGAAGAAAAGATAGAATGCAAAAAAACAAAAACAAAAACAAAAAACCAACAACAGCATTTAGTCATAGGAAAGGAAAGGAAAGGAAAGGAAAGGAAAGGAAAGGAAAGGAAAGGAAAGGAAAGGGGATGAAGGTTAGCATGCTCAACACCCTTCATTTTGTATATGGAGTTTCCTATTTTCATAATTGATATCTAGAGCCAAGTATGTTTTAAGAAGTCACAATGACTGTTGGAACACTAGGAAGTTCCACAAGGGGTAAGACATGTTTACCTGAAGACATGTGGTGTGTTAGGGTAAATGCTCTTTAGGGGAATTTATAATTAGCTCAAATTACGAGAGGGGCATCCCTAACAATGCCCAGGGTCTTACCAAATGTATACAGGACGTTGGGTAATGGCTATGAGGACGCTGAGACACCACAGACTCCAATCAGATATGAATCCCAAATATTTATTAAACAATATGAATGTAAACACACACACACTCACATGCACACTAGAAGGAAAAGCGGGGAAAACTGGGAGTAGCAGAGAGAGAGAGAGAGAGTTCAGGGGGAGAGGAAGGGAAATAGTTACCTAAACCCAAAATGAGCCTGTCTCGTTGGATCCGCTGTGGAGATTGGGTTCGATGAGATGGCACGACCGGCAGAGAGATAGGCCGTGGGAGCTAGCTAGGGCTACAGACTGACAGAGATTCAGCATGCACCCCAAGGCAGCACACTGAACTGGGTCCGGGGAGACCCTTATATACCAGAAAATGGCACTCTAGGCTATTGGCCGAACAATCAAACAAAGACCAAGATTGATTATCTATTGTGTACCTTCCTGTCTGGTTGGTCTAAACAAAGGGGGTGGTCTCAGAGCCATCAAGGTGTGGGATGT